TATATATATATATATAATTATTAAGCTAGACTTTGGGGCGGTTCAAAGATTACATACAGAATATTAATAATAATTTGCTTAATTTGATTAATATTTCTTTTTTACTATATAAAAAGAGAATATTCGTGCGTACATCTAAATAAAGATTATAAAATTAAAGGTTTATCTTCAATAAGATGTAAAAAAAACTTGTAATTTGAATTTGTATAATTATTATTAAATTATTAATACTTATCAAAATTAAAAAAATAATTGTAGTCAAGAAGAAGATGAAAAAGCCTTTAAATTTGATAAAAGAGTAAACATTTCTCTTTTAACGAATAAGGATCTGGTAAATACTAGAACTTCATAGCCGCGCACAATCGAAATGAAACCACGAAAATACGATCGCAAAATCACTTAGGTTTATTGGATCGGATGAGAAGCGGCGGTGCATTTGGAGGTAATCGTATATAAAATCTATATGTCACACGTATATGTCCCTATATCCTGGAGTTTATGCGTTATAAAAGAGGGGTTGCCTCGTGGCACACGAATAGAGGACAAGCTTGCGAGGGAGTGGCGGTATCGAAAGGTGGAAGAGCGTTAGGGAGGGGTGAAACGGTGAGTTTAACAAATATTGAAGTCTCGGGGACGTCAGCTCGCCCGCGAGCTCTCTTCGTCGCGGCCCGAGGAAAGAAAGTTCCAAGTTTAAACTTGTCTAAATGTTTATACTTTTCCCTCGTCTCGATATTTCCACGAGACTCGCGGCCGATCCCTCCGCTATATGCTCCTAACGCCGCTATCTTTCTGACGTGTCCTCAAAACGACATTCTCGCCCATTCGCCTTTCAATATTTTCTCGTGCGCACCGACACTTCCGTTCGCACTACTCTTGCCTCTTCTCTATCTATGACTACATCTTCGTACATTTCTTATATATCTGTAGCTCGGACCGTAGCTACCTCTGCTTTTCTGCCATCCCTGCAACGCGTGCACCTACCTTTGATGTGCTCGCATGAGTACACTGCTTCTTGAACTTCGCGTCACGAAAATACTGCGGTTATTATGCATGTATGCTGGGATTCGATGTCGCGGGGGATAGGGCATACTCTTTTTCACTTGAATCCCCTATGGTGTTGCCTCGGCGCCCTTGAATGCTTCGGGAGCATTTCGCATTCGCGTTTAAATTATATAACATTCTCATGTTTTTGCGAGTTTCCGGACTTCTTCGTAACCGCAAGACTCTCCGAAGGCGCCGAATGCGTCTATTTTATGTGTCTATTTTATCAACATCACAACAGTAAAATGATCAAAAGAGCTTTATTCACTAAAGTTTCCGGTATTGAGATAACTTTACTCTGTGAAATGCGATGTTAAAATAAAGATATAACAAATTCAGTAGTGATAAAAACAAAATAAATTGCAATTTCCATCAGTCTGGTAGATTGTTTAAATTATTTGGTACATAATGCACTTCCGATGGAGTATGCATTGCAGAAAGCATTCCGGAAACAATCGAGAATAGCAGCATCGATATGGAGAAGGTGGGTACACTGTATTGGACTTCGATGCATCGAGAAACGATTGTAGCCGATTATAAACGCATCGCGGCAATGCTCACAGGTAACGTGGGAAGGGCTGATTCGCGAAGGGTGGGCGGTGGTGGGTGGCTTACGGTAGAGTAAGATGTAATTTTCAATACCCCGGTCCGGGGTCTCTGGAGGCGCAAGGGGAGCCACAATTCCGGGGGTTTACCGTGCGCTGTCGACGTAAACTCTCCTCAGTCGCACCCCCGTCGGCCGAAGTCAGCCACGGAGAGCACCACTTATTCGAACCCCCAGTGACTGTCAATACCAGATCGTATACTGTCTCTGCCCGTGTATGAAATGGATAAATAAATCTCATTGCATGCCTGGTTCATCAAGATTTGACTGACTCGTGGTACATCCAAAAAACAAACTTGCTTACTTGTAATGAAAGAGTTGAGCTAATATTTAACGGAATTATATTACTTTCTTATAACATTTTATTAACTGAAATGCAAATATATACATAAAAGCGAGAGAATATAATTAATAAATTTAGTATTTATAATAAATAACTAAAAATATGAGAAATTGTTTTATTCCGCGTTAAATGAATTATTGTTAATAAATATATAAATATATTATTTTATGTAAATAATTTTTTAGTATTTTAAATATGTAATCATGTTTTTTAATGTCTAATTATTTAATTGATATTAGTAATAGATATTCGTAATAGAGAAAAGTTCTTAAATTTTTTCACTTGTGCATATTTTATTTTAAATACTTATAAAACACTGCATACAGGAAAAATTCTGCTTTTAAATGTGCATATATTATAAATCTGCAATAAATGTGCATGTATAGTATTGAAACTATCAGATATTATTATATCATCTGTCAAAAATTCTCTATGATACTTAATTCTACTAACTATACGATGAAGAAAGTCTACATATGTCTGCTTGGATCTTCCTCAATGATTAACCTCGTTTTGAAGTTGCAACCATGACGTTCGCCAAAGCAAGGTGAGAACCACATGTGAGAACCTTGTTCACAGCCCAAGGGAAAGCTGAGAGTCACACTGATCTTGCTCTTTGTCGCGGGACCCATTGGAGTGCATCCTCCACCTTCACAGCACGCTTCTCCACTGCCTTTCCCTCTACTTCGCCACGGTCCTCTCAGCATCCTCTGGTATCTTCCTTCCAGAGTCACGGAGGTACATAGCGTGGCTTTTGAAACCTCTCGAGAGGGTACGTTGACTTCGATATTCCGTATCGAGTTACGCTCGTTTCATGTACCAAACAGTTGGTGGAAGGTGCACGAGTGCCAAACAAAACGTGGCATACAAGAAAGCAAGATATATTCTATGTTAATAGAAAAGTAACATCTCGAAATTAATAACTTTTCAAAATTAATGATTCTTTATATCAATAAACATTAAATACAATATAGGGCAAATAAAAGTCTAACATATAAATTTATATACAACAACCAAGAAATTACAAATTTAAAGTTCTTATATATTAATCGATATATTTCGGTCTTAAGATTAAGCTCTTTTCAAATAAAAAAAATATCAATAGTGATTTAATGTAGTAACATCATTACGTTTTTTTATATCTGAAAAGGGCCTAATCTTAAGGCCGAAACATGTTATAATCGATTAATATATAAGAATTTTAAATTTGTAATTTCTTGATTGTTGTATATAAATTTATATTTATAATTTATATAAGATCCTTACTTGCTCTATATTGTATTTATTATTTATTAATAACTTTTCAGAGTAGAACATTTTTTAAATTCTGAATTGAAACAATTCAGTGAATATGCATTACTTCACTTTTTTCTATATTATTCTTTCAATTGTAAGTATTTAATTGTATAGTTTTCTTGAAACTATATCAGTTTCCGAAATTTGAACATTGCAATTCTAATGCTAATTTTTATTTAGTGTCATTATTCTATCAATACGATGTTGTATATTAAATCATAAAGTTTTGAATTACAATATTTTTTACATATACGTATATTTACATATACGTATATGACTTACTTTTACAAATAATATAGTAGTACATCTATAAAGAAAAGAAATTTTTTTTACTGTAATTACTGTACGAAATAACATATTAATCATGGATATAATCTGGTATTGTTTGATAATAGCTCGTAAAATCTATATTTCTTGAAACATCATAAGTTTCTCAAATTTTTATGACAGCGTCACATTTTAACATATTTATATGCGACTTTATATTCAAAATAATTTAGAAATAAAACACAGTTGCTATATCGACAGAATACTATTCGAGTACGATAATTCAGCATAAAACACTTGTGACGATTGCGATTTTTGCACAGATAATGATCTTGGAGTCAGAGAAATCCCCCAAACGCCGTGAATTAGTGTCCATTTGATTTACCCATGGGAGGATGAGGTAAGTCGGCAATCGACCGTTCGTCTCAGGTACACGCAAAAACGTCTTCTGACTCTGCCACTGGAAATGCGATCGTCATCTAATTGGAACTCGATACCCAGTAACGAGGGTTACAAACTTTTCCGTTTTCTGTCTGCCTCAGCTCTCTCTCCCTACTGCGCCCTATGTCCTCCCCCTTCGTTCACCTCCGTTTCCTTGTGGGCGCGTCCCCGCAAGTAACAGTTCCAGGAGGGGATGAAAAATTGTTATCTTATTTATGAGCACAAGATTAGACCAGCGGTAGAACGTTTCGCGCCACTAACAGGCGTCGGAATGATGAATGTCTCTTGAACCGAGTGTGCTTCGACTTACTCGCAAGTCGCGATGTTTTTAAAAGAGTATCATTAATTAACTAATTAAATGAATGCATTGTAGTATCCACGGATTGACCATGTCACGCTATGATAGCCGTAAAGAGATTAGAGTGCGCGAAACTATAAAGAGTTGACACAAAATATAAATGAGACACTTGACATTTATATATGACATATACAATAAATTAACGAAACATTTCCTTGTCAGTTTAATGCTTAGGAAAATCTTTTTTTTTATAAATTTATCCATTTATATCTCAGAAAACTTATGATCAATTATACGAGAGTTACAAGTATTATTATTGACTACAGCTCGATTTACGCCGAAGATTTACATCGATGTTATGAAACTGATCAGTCGCAGTCATTCCATTGTTCAGAGGAGTAGCTATAATTGTCTAGTTTTATAATATCGATATATATTGTAACTTCGAAGCCGCGTAAATTAATTATTATCTTTTTTGCCACATTTCGTTTACATAAGTTCTTATCATTCGTTCTGTTAATTTTACAGTATATGATTTTTTTATATGACCGATTTCAAACATTACGTGTTGAGAAAGATTTCTAAAAATATCTTGTACAAGTTTTTTCGTCACGAACAAATTCTGAATTTCTCACGGAATAGCGTTGGATACGGGGAATTACTCGTGCGCCATTACGAGCTGTGGTTCGTTTGCAGAGCTTCTCAACGATGCAGACAGTGCATTCGACTGCAACCGGCCACGAGTCCCCAGGAGGGATGCAACACCAGCTTATCTACGCGCCAGTTTGGAAATCTCAGCGTGGAGATGCGATACGTCTGGAGGGAAGGTTAGTAGACGTCACGTGAGGAAAGAGTAAGAGAGGGATGGTTAAAGAAGGAGAGAGAGGGGGGGAGAGAGAGAGAGAGAGAGAGAGAGAGAGAGAGAGAGAGAGAGAGAGAGAGAGAGATGGACGAGGCGTGAGAAGCAGGGATGTACACGAAGCTGAAGTTGGAGTAGAACCAAAAGGATGAAGGAGAGAGGGAGAGGATAAGGTCGCTTCAACCTCTCGGCATCCCACGAGGCCTCCGGTGTAATTAAGCGAGTGCACCCTCACATGTCTACGTACGTTCGCATCATGTCTATCCATCTAACCGTGGTAGGGTTGTTCTCTTCGTCGACTCGTCGTCCCTTATACCAAGGGTCGAGAGATAAGGCTGCAAAAACCTCGGTACGTCCTTCGTGCCTACATCTTGTAGTCTCACACCAGCGAATTTTAAAATGCGCGTGTTGAGAAATACAACGTATCCATGGGGAGATCTGATGGCCACTTCCATCAGCATATTGTTAGATTGTGCATTATGCCGTGATTCTTTATTTCGTAGTAATTAAATTTGAGGCCACGTGTGATTTGCGAAAGCAAGTTTGTTATTGGAATTTCGATAAAACCATTGTTTTCTGCAAAGATTTTAAGAAATGCTCACAACATAAAGAACATAGAATAACTGAATATTAATTCAAATATCGCGTATATACTTCTGAAGACTTTCTCCTTTGATATGACATTTGGAAACTATAATTGAAGCAAAGTCAGTGAACGAATATTACGGAGGACCGTGCGCACGTTCGCGTATGTACGTTATATGGTAATGGAGGGCCAATCATGCGGTAACTAGCCACCCTGGGGAGACGGTCAGAACTGCCACCCGGCGGTCAGCTCCCGTCAATGTGTCACTTACGTAGCCGGAATAGCGAACCCTCCCGATAGAGCATTACTACTGAACGTGTTTTCCCCTCGATTGCAAGTACTGTCAGTTTCCTGTCTGGAACATTCTGTCCGCGCGTTTTAAAAAGCTACGAGATCGCCTCAAGCTTTTATAAACTGCAAAGAAATTAAATTTTTTTTATTCTCGTGTTTAAAATTTTGAAACCGTAAATTTCCAGTTCATTTTCAAAATATAAATATTTCCCGTTAATACTATAAATAAAATATCAACTTAAAGATATAGATATATTATAAATAAAATATCAACTTAAAGATACATCTTTTCATATGATATATTTTAGAACTCTAAAATAAGATTATAATTTTTTCACTAAAAACTATCGAAGAATGACAGACATCGTCTGAGGGTGTCGTTCGACCGAGCGAATGAAAGGTTCGTCGAGGCACGAAACTACGTTAGAACTCGCATTAAAAGTTGGCGGATACGACGAGGACAAGCTGGACGAAGGGTCAAGGAAGCACAAAGCGATGCGAGTGTAGTGGCCAATTCTTGATTCGGTGTTGTGAACGACTTGACGAAGGTGTGCACAAAACTGCCGCAACTACCACCATCACAATCAACAACAACGGCAGTAGCAACGCAACGTTCACGTTCTATCACCGATGATACGGATGTACAATACCACCTTCGCCATCGGTCGAGCCAAGAGTGTATGGAGCCGCGAGTGAGCGAGCGAGAGAGACCAGGAAACAGGGCGATAAATAACTACAGGATGAAAAAGGGGGCGCGGTACCCTCCCGGGGCCCCTAAACCTAGACTACACACCCCTCGCCATCCCTTGCCATTCCGCGCCGCACCAGCTTCGTATAAACCGCGCGCACGGGCCCGACCCCGACAATTATACCCTCGCACGCGAAATGTTTTATTACCCTGACGTAGAATGCTTGCGTACGAGGAGAGTGGTTGGTATCTATGTATGTGTACATGCCCATGTATCGATGCATCCCTCCGTGTACGCGCATGCATTGCTATTGTCCGGACGTAGTATGGAAACATCTGACAGTACGTGCCCTACTTTTCTAACTTTAAAATCTGTCAAATAAAGCATTCCTTAGTATAGAGATTTTAATGTAATAATCATAAGATCAATTTTGTTTCGAACAAACGTTAACTCTAAGAAACATATGACACTTGCATAGTAAGTGTTTCGACAGAGCGCATTCATGCGCTAATAGAGAAATAATGTAGCTTACGCTTGTTGGAATTCTTAAGGGAGACACGAGCCTTTGAGAGTGAAACCGGCTAATTACGAAGCAAGTACCCGGTAAAGTCTTCTACCTTGGACTACATCCCTCGGAGGGATATACGAGGTTGGCAGTGCTTGAGGGGATCCACTACTCCCAAAACGTGCACCGGATGACGCTTGATCTTTCAGCTAATTCTGTAATCCGGGACGGCACTACCTGCTAACTGCTCACTAAATCGAGGATCCAATCTTCTCCGCTATCTTCGCTCTTTATCACGACAAATGGTCAGCGACAGTGTCTAAGTGATACTTCAAATAGAATAGTTTTAGTAAAATTAAGTTTTCTATTGTTACATTATAATACAAAAATAATAAAAATAGTTTTCTATATTTACAAGATAAATCTTCTTTTAAATATACAAAAACTAAACAAAATTTTGTAAATAAAAATTATAGAATTATTTTTCTTTTTCTATTTGAAATTGTAAAAATTATAGAGTTTAAATAGTTCCGCCCTTCTTGTTTCTACACTTTTGCATTTCTAAGATTTTTAAGTTTTTAAAATTTAAAAATATTACTTTTCTGAAGTAGTATACTACAATGGCATAATGTTATCGTGAAATTTCCAAGACATATCCTGCATATAAATTGATCGTTAATTACTGAAAAATGAGCAAGCTGACAGCGCACCTATTTACTATCCCTGCATTCATCCCACGAGCCAAGTCAGCCCTTAGTCTTTGGTTAATCGGGTTAAATTAACTCAGTTAGCGTACGGCTGTTATGCCCTCGTAGTTAGCGACTTGTTATCCCGAATCAGGCTTCTCGTCAGAAACATTCACGCAAAGTTCACTACGTCATGATATCATGTATAAATATGAAAATGGATTGTGGTGAAAAGGTGATTACAAATATTAGGTTAATATTTTTCGATAAAATCGATGATTTTATTATTGAGAGATCATGAGAAATTAATACAAAACTTTAAATACGAATACTAAAAGTTTTACTTGTTACACAAGATTTACATTTATATAAAAATATTACTACCTATCTCTCTTTTTGCTAAAATATATTTTAAAGAATTAACAATTCAATGGAGAATTTCCGAGAAACAATACAGCAAACTCTTTCTGCTTCTGCTCATTTATCGGTTCGAATCGCAGCATCGATTTTTAAATTGCGTAATAAATAAAATTAGCAACGAGGGTGACTTCCGTGGTGGGCAAAGGGGCCGTAATTGTAACTTCATCAGGGCAACTTCCCTCAACTTAATAAAGCTGTCTCAATTTTCGCCTCATTACCGAAACTCGTGCGAAATTTTCTTGTTTAATTTATGTATACTATATATACGACAACAAATATTATTAGTTGTTATTTACGTAAAGAAATGTGAATTTTGTAAATTTATGTCAATTGTAATACTATTTCCAATTTATTTTTGTGTTTGCTGCTGTTTTTGTTGCAGACGAAACGTTTCATTATTTCACGAAAAATTACGACTGCGCTGCGTAATAGGTCCAGTACATCACACAGCTTGCAAACGCGCGAAAAAATAACATTGGTTCTCTAGATTTATGACTTTTGTCAACGTAAATGGTTCAAATATTGATAGAAAAGAATATTCTAACTTTAAGACTAAATAAATCTATAAAGAAGCAAAATGGAATAAAAATGTATTTAGAATATTATTCTCAATTAAACTCTCAATATTATTTTAGAGATTTAAATGCAAGAAAACGAATTATATATAATAATACTTAGACGATTATGATAGCTTTGACTTTTTATATTTAACGTTGATTGTAGCAATTTTTCGAACTTCTTTTATGTATCATAATTAAGAAATATTTTTAACACATACATACATTTGGAAAGAAAAGAATTTATACTTCATTTAGCATTGTTACATGATTAATAATTTGATTGATACTGTATAATCATTTCTTTCATTTTCAATGTACGAAATGTAACGTGTTTATTTGATGCATGCCTTGCACTGAACTTAAACATGTTTCCATAAACCACGCGTAACGTCACGCATAATGTAACATGATTGCGTTGTGTACGTTTAGACATACCATTAGCATGGCGATTGACATATGCATCCCATTGACGACGCTTAGGTTCGAGGCGGACGTACTCGTGCAACGTCGCACAGGTAGAAGTGAGGGCAGAATAGCGGTATCCACTCTCATGTAACTAATCAACTGGCTGTCGAGCCAAATCGTCCCCTACTGAATCCCTCACAGACCCTCGAAAACAGAGAAATCCGGACATACTGGTGCAAACAGAATGGCAAAGATGCTACGTGATACAGCTTTATTATGTAAGAATCAAGAAGACTTTCGTGTCCATCATATTCAAGAGTGGCGATAAAAAAGTGTATGAAAATGAAAATAAGAGAATTGTGTCGAACAAAGTAATTATGGAGTACGTTTTCGTAGGAAAAGGAAACGCTTGGTCGCACTACCGAGCATTCCACGAGGTAGAAGGCGAGGGTCGGAGTTGATAAAGAAATAAAGAATCGTGAAAGTTCGCGTCGAACCCCGCGTTCCCATGAGGCCTTATGACTTAAAGTCTCCTTACTCCGTTAATTCCGAACATTAACAAAAGTCCCGCTAAAACTCGCCGCCAACTTTCCCGACCTCTAGGGACTGAGCCGGACTTGTTAATGAAAAAAATACAATAAAACTCTTTCACGACGAAACTCGTCTCGAATTCTCGAAACTAGCCTGCTTGTGTTCTGCAAAGAGAACTCCTTCTTCCTTCTGCGTTTCTTCAAACAAAATAATCGGTAGTCATAATCGAGTATCGAATAATCTTCATGTCAAATTTTTGAGCAAAAATGACCGCTTTATAAGCAACATTAAAAAT